TCTTTTTTGTATATTCGGCCTTGGTGCATGCTTTTTAAAATTCTTTCTAGAAGAGGCTTCTGTGCGCCTATGTTAAGGTACATTCTTAAGGCAGATTTCTAGCCCTTTCTGTCGGCACTGCTTTCTGTGTGCCACTACACACAACTGTGTGTGTACGCTATAGCTCTATAGCCAAGCAAGTCAAGCCTTGAATTGTCTGATTTTGTAAAGCTGAGGGGCTTTTATCTGTTTAAACATTCACTGGATGTATTCAACTAAAAATAAACAATATGCTGTATATGCTACTGGCTATAAAACTCATAGAACACACACATCACACACGTTCACCTACAGTATGTTTTGTGAGTTATTAATGTAAAGTTGCAGCTTCCTGTGAATATTTGCAGTAAATTGTGTCATTTTTCTTCTGGTTTCAGCCAAATATAAGGACACTGATATTTATGAAATAGATTCATCTTCTTGTTGCTTTAAATACTCTGTATTTTTTTTTTTTTTTTTTTTTTTTTTTTTTTGCTGTTCTTGCTCTTAGCTTAAGCATTTTACTTTTCTGCAGATCTTGTCATATTTTCCTTACAATTATAGGGAAAGGGAGGCAAGAAACATCATAAAGCATTTGTCCCTTTGTGGGGAATAGAGTAAATCTCAAGAAAACATAAGCTCTTTTTGTTGTTTTGTGGCTTCGTGGCTCAAATATTACTAAGATACTTTGTTAATTAAATTAGAGCTACCACACTGCTTAAGTGGTCATGTGGTTTGTTTTGTTTTAAATTTCACAGAATGATGGGATTTCCCCTGGCTGGTTCTCTAGCTCTTGGTGCCTAAGCTGTTAAATCACTGCCACCAGCGATTCTGTCCAAGAGCCCCTTTCTTCCTCCTCCCTGGAGGATATCCTTGATCCTCCTGCCCGGGGTGTTTTGTTCGCTGCCCCGATCATGGAAGTCTGAAAAGATTTGATGGCTATTACAGTAGCAGGAAATGTATTAAGATCTAAGTTATATGAAAGTGAAGATGTTCTACTTCCTGGACTATTAAATGTAGGCTATGAGCAAAAGGAGGGCAAGCTGATTCTAAGATTATGTGTTGGACCAAACAGCTAGAAAGACAGGTTGCCCTTTCCTGAAATGGTGAAGGCTGAGGGAGGAACAGCCTTTCTTGGGACAGAATAAGATGACACGGTCAGCATAGGACTTGGATGTACCTTTAAATGCTCAAGCACAGATCCCTTGTAGGCAGCTGTGTAGGTGAAGGAGAGAGGCAAGGTGTCACCCCCGTGGTGCCTCCAACAGGGCGGCCACTTGCCACACATGGTTAAAGTTACATTTGATTTTAGTTGGAGGTCACTTTAAAATTGAATAGAAGAGCAAGTAAGGAGGATCCAGCAAAGGCAACCAGGGATAAACATGAGGGAGATTGGAAAAAAAAGCAGAATGAGATTCCGTGGCAGAAAAATGGAAGGAAGGGACTGCTACATGTAGTCCTAGTGACTGGTTCAAAATAAGGACAGTTCGTTGTTTGGTGTGACAAGGTACCACTGAAAGAAGCTTTAAAGATGTGATGGGGGAGTAGCTGAGAAAGAATGGGGGAGAATAATGAAACATGGAGACCTAAAGGAAAAACAACCCTAGGGGAGGTTTCGGTACAGAGGAAAATAAAGTTATAAGATACGAGGTAGAAAGATGGACAGAATTAAGATTATGTTTTGTCTTAAGAATACAATAGCATGGTTTGAGGCTAATAGGGATGATCTATTAAGCAAGGTAATTCAACAAGGCTAGGGACATGGGGATGCAGATAAAGCAGTGGTGCTGTAAAGTAAAATGGTATATGACATGTGGTAAAGGATGTGGCCTTAGGATCCAGGAAGGAGCACACAGTGTCAAAAGTGGGGAGGCATCAGTGGATACAGATGGGGAGAGAAGTTTAGTGATGATGGAATATTACATAAGTTTCATTTTGTTGGGGATATGAATGATTTCTTAGGGTTGACTTGAGTGAAGGTCTGGGAAAGTTTGATGGCTTGATTGTATTTAAAAGTTATGAGACCTTATCTTCAGTCTAATTTTTATCTGAAGTGCATCTTATTCTTGACCCCAAAATTTAAAAAAAATTTTTTTTCAGTACCAGGTATTGAACTCAAGACCTTGCACTTGCCAGGCAAGTGCTTATTCTCCTGAGCTATCTCCCTGGCCCCTATTTTAAAATCCTTGCAGTGAAACAATATCCAATGTATGGCTTAGGCTTCAAAATCTGGAAGTAAGGGGCCGGAGAGATGGCTCAGTGGAATAAGCACTTCCCTGGCAAGCACAAGGGCCTGATTTCAATCCCCGGTTCCACAAAAAAAAAAAAAAAAAAAAAAAAAAAAAAAAAAAATCTGGAAGTAAGGGCCAGGGAGATAGCGGCTTAAGCACCTGCCTGGAAAACACAGGATCCTGAGTTTGATCCTCTGTACAACAAAAAACAAGCAAAATCTGGAAGTAGAATATAGGAAGTGTGCCTTAGGAAAATGTGCTAAACCACTCTTAACTCACCAGAACATAAATCCTAGAAGCTCAAAAGGCAAGAACTCATGTTCTTGTGCATTTTCTTTGCACTTGTAATAGGTACCTATTTCCCTCTTTAGTAGAAATCAAGATGCAGTTTGAAGGGAAGAATTGGTGGCTCTAGAAAGTGGAGAGAATTCCTTGCTTTCCCTGTAGCGTTGGTGCTTACATTTGTGCCCATCACTTAAATTTATGTATGATGTGACTATATTGTAGTGGAATGACATCAGGCCTCACAGCCCTTAGGTCACTGTCATTCACATATTTTACCCATTTTTTTTATTGTCACACGTGTAAATGTGAGGTACTGCCTCATTTTCTTCCTGACAAGACTTTCGCATATCTGGCAAACAAAGACTATAGCAACCATCAGTGCTATATTTGAGGTACTACTTTGATTGAAAGAAAAATTAAGTTAGAGGAAGATGATGTTCTGAATGTGATACTGCTGTCACAATTCCAGTTGGACTGTATAACAGACTCTCATGGGCCAGGGTTTACTTAATACAGGAAAACATTAACAGAAACCCTGCAGGGATACCAAAAGGGGAAGTATAATGCCTGTTCAGAATGTGTGAATGTTAAATCAAATGCGATTCCAAGAACCGCTGTAGGGTTTAGCTGTAAAACTTGGGGGAAAAGAAAACTGGAAAGATCCTCAAAGCTAAAAGACCTCTAGCATGGATGGTGCAAAGATTTTCATTGGCAACTGGTGAGAACTGGTATTTGTCCATTTCAGTGGTGCTGCCTTGAATGGTGTTTGGATTTTGTTTTGGATGAGTGTGGGGAACACAGACTTACCATTATGCTTGTATCTGGGAGGCAGCAAGATTTGTCATCATAAAATGACACCCACACCATGCAGTCTAAAGAGTTAGCCATAATATCCCCAGAGACGTTAAACTAATAGCAAAGTGGTAGCCATTTGGTAGAATATTAAAGACTAGTCTAGTCTAGTGTTGGCCCTTGAACGACTGCCCCCACCCAACTTTAATTGAGGTAAGAGTCCCACCAGACAGAGATGGAGCCAGCACATCCTATTTTTAACTAGCAATAGGTTTTGCCTTTTGGGCATGAATGCCCAGTTCTGGTGGTAAAGAGTTTCCCACAAGACCCAGAGTTATTTATATTCATGCTTTGAGCTTGAAAGGAAAAAAAAATGAATAGTAGTTCAAAGGGTATCAGCGATGAGCTCTTCCCTCCTATCAAAATCAAGGCAGCGGATTGCATCGTTCGGGCACACTTCTGTTGGAGGTTTCATGTATGGTCATTCCCCAGCCACGTGTGTGATCTTGCACACGTTCCAGACCCTATACCACCATTTTTGCAATGAAAATAGAGGCAGCCCCATCATGGTTGCTAGAGAAATGTTTTGAGAGAACACAGAGACAGGAAAGGCCCAGAAGAGTAAAGCTTTGCTATTAGTTTAAATGTCTCTGGAGATATTGTGGCTAACTCTTAAGACTGCATGGTGTGGGTGTCATTTTATAATGACAAATCTTGCTGCCTCCCAGATACAAGCATAATGGTAAGTCTGTGTTCCCCACACTCATCCAAAACAAAATCCAAACACCATTCAAGGCAGCACCACTGAAATGGACAAATACCAGTTCTCACCGGTTGCCAATGAAAATCTTTGCACCATCCATGCTAGAGGTCTTTTAGCTTTGAGGATCTTTCTAGTTTTCTTTTTCCCCAAGTTGTCCATGCCAGGAAAGTGCCCAATACAAGCTCCCTCTTCTGTTCCTAGTCAGACTGTACAGGATCAGAGTCATACCGAGTTCTTGACTTCTGAGGTTAAATCTCTCCCTGTCCGTACATCACCAATCTGTGATTCTGTGTTTCTTTTTTTCTAACTTGCTCAGCCCAAGGCATAGCTAACAGATATAGTCTCTTTGGGCAAATTCTCTTTAGGAATTTTATTAGAAACCCATTTGACTTCTAGAGTTGAGGAGAGGCAGCTCTACATGGGGTATCTGTGGTTTGGGGACTGTTTCTTCTCCTAGGTCAGAGTATAGGAGTTGTGGTACAGGATGGATGATAAAAATTGATATACATAGACTGAGTTGTACCTATTATGTGGAGGATACCACTGTGTGTGTATCGTGCTAGGCTTTCCAGTTTAAATTAACATTAAGACCCAGCAATGTCCAGCCACACAACCATATTTCATATTAATGTAACATGTGTATGAATATGTGTGTGATCTAGAGTTGGGGATTGCTTGCCCACAGAAAATAATTACCATCTGCTCTTTAACTTCTATCTAAATCACAATTTGATCCTTTAACGAATGTGTTTTAAAGTGTCTAGAGAAAACTTAAAATCAGCATAAAGCATACTTGCACAATGCATTGAACTGATAAGATAAAAATGACATTCAGATATCTTTAAAATGTTCAGCAAGGTTTCTGGAATCGTCTACACCTTGACCTCTGGCTTTTATCTCCTGCCGTCCAGATTCTGATGCAAGGCAAAAATCCAGGAATAGCTTGGAAGTACGCACTTCCCAAGGCCACCAATGGAACTCAGCCAGCCATGAAAAGACCGCAGCACACCTGGAGAACCACGCAGTCCGCCTGCTCCGTCTCCTGTGGAGGAGGTATAGTTTTTCCCTGATTCCACCTTCCAAGTCTGTCTCTTTGAAAACAGGTTCATTCTACGCTGCTTTAACAACATATGCTGTAAATAAGCCGCCAAAGAACTATCTTTCAGGAAACCACCATTATGCAAAGAAAATACCTTACAATTCAAGGGTTTTCCTATGTAGCAAGAAACCAGTTCTCACAAAGCTCAAATCAGCCACAACCAAAGAACAGCAGTTGCGCATCCCTGGAGGCTGAGCCTAGGGGACCACAAGGTTGAGGAGGCCAGCCTGGGCAATTTAGCAAGACTTTGCCTAAAATCAAAAATAAAAAAAGGGCTGGGGCTATATAGCTCAGGTTCAATCCCTAGTACCACCAGAGCCAAAATCGTCACATATCTGAAACTTCTAGAAGCTATACCTATTTATAAATAGTGATGTCTCTCTGAATATCCCAGTTTCTCCCACTGACTTGTGTCATTATAAGCCTCCCACTGGGGCTTTAGAAGGCAGGATGAAGACACTGAGAACACACACAGGGCACCCTGAGGATGACTCTGAACTGCAGGGATTGTATCACTGTATCAGTCCAGTCCCTCGAGGAAGGTCAGCGAGCGTCTGAATAGGGAAATGGCTTAAATGTGACACCAGCAACCCCCACTTAGCAAACAGGAGAAAGACATTTTACTTGGGTATCAGAAATGTCACATATTCTTAGTAAGTCAGAAGTCACACATGCCCTTTGGCAATTTGCCTTTTGGAGGGGAATGAAATTTCATTTCTGAGTCCATGAAACCGAAGCATGAAGAGGGTTGGTGGCTCATTTTCTATTAGAGCAGGTACAGTGACACTTCCTACTGGGCTCATGCCACTGTTTACACTGAGGGCCCTGAGAAAGGGTCAGGAGACAGGGTCCTTAGGTCCATGAGGTCTATCTTTAGAAGCACGTACTGCTTAACAAAGTGCAAGGAAGTACTTTACACACACACACACACACACACACACACACACACACACACAGCTAAAAGGTAATGCATTTGATTAATACTTAAAGCCAATATACTTTAAAGAAAAAAAGTAATCCCTGTTATAACTCTTCAATCAATAATATTTTGGTCTGTGTTTTTCTTTTTCCTGTGCATACACAAATAAATGTGTCTGACAGGCTCACACACATGCCATAAACCATTCTGTACTGTTGTTGAACAGGTATCGTGATGTAGGTGCACCTTTACACTTGTTCTTTTTTGCTTGGCCCTAGATTGCGAGCAGTTTCTCCTATATCTCAAATGTTCTTGGAGAATGTTTTCAAAGACCTGTTAGTATTCCAGGAAGAGCACAGTGCCTTGGGAAGAGACAGATTTGATTCATTGTGCACTCAAGGGAATAAATCCAGGCAAGGTCAGAATAAAGGAGTGCACCGTGGAGTTCTACTCTTGCCTCGATTTAGCAGCTCCTTCAGGGAACTCATAGACCCTGCTGTGCCCTAGGCATATAAGAAGGTCCACATGAGTAAATTCTGTGGCAATGCACCAGAGAATTAACTCTGGAGAAGTCCAGTGTGGCTTTGATCTGTTCCCCTAAACTACTTCACCTTTCAGTACAGTAGGACTGATTGATAATCCTTATAGCTGAAGTGACCTTTTATCATTTCCATTTTAAGAAAAAAGTACAATTGTCTCTTCTCTGGTTGCTGGGACAAATACCCGGCACTCAGAATTAGGGAAGGAAAGGTTTATTTAGCTCACAGTTACTGGAGGTTTCAGTTCATACTCAACTGGCTCCAAGGCAGACTGGCACATGGCAGAGTGCAGCAGTTCATCATGACAGAAGGCTGCAAAACAGCAAGAGTGAATGGAGGAGTAGCAGCAACAGTGGCAACAGAGGACAAGTCTCCCTTAAGTTGCATTCAGGCTCTCGGCCCCAGGCTGGGTGTAGCATTCACACCCATAATCCCAGTGGATCACGAGTTAATCACAAACTCTGGAAGTCCGTCCCATGACTTACATGAAGCTTTGGTGGGACAACTAGACAAAAACCGTAACAACCACATAAATGGGTCACAGGAGAGGCAGTTTTTCTGATTTCAAAATATGAAATATAAAATGGTTCACACACACACACGAAGGAATGCCTCTGATAGAAGTCCTGAAGTGCCCAACCAAGGAGGAGAGATGCCCGTAGCACAAAGATTTCCTGAGGTCCCAATACATCTGCAGAGAGCTCAACCTTTTCGCATGCAAGTACATCATACTTTGGTGCAAGTGTGAAATGTTTCATGGCAAAGTGGAGCTAGGTTTTCACACTCCATTCACTAGCGGTTTTTCAATGGGAAATATTTTCCATCAGATGTGTGCAAAATAAGCTCAAGCTTTCTGGGATATTTCCCTATATTCCAGTTGTTCTGGTTTCAAAAGTGGTATTTATTTATCACTTTGTGGCACAAATACACCTTTGTCTTAAAAACTAAGAATCTACACACTAATATTAGTAAGATATAAAATCTATGATCATGGAGATAAGTGGAATGCAGATTTATTGCAACTGTATCAAAAGTATTTATTTTATTTATTTATTTATGTATTTATGGCAGAACCAGGGATTGAACTCAGGCCCTTGCGCTTGCCAGGCAAGTGCTTATTCTATGGAGCCATCTCACCAGCCCCCTTCAAAAGGTAGTTTTAGCTGGTTGTGGTGGTGCATGCCAGAAGATCACAAGTTTGAGCCCAGCCTAGGCTTAGTGATACCACTTGGTATTACCACCATCTCAAAATAAAAAACAAAATAAAACTGGGGTATAATTCAATGGGTGCCCTAGGTTCTATCTCCAGTACTGAGAGGGTAAAAAATGTACTTTCTGAAAGTATTTGGATTTCATACCTAAAATAGTGTATCAGAACATTGGAGAATCTGAAGCTAACCTTGGAAACCAAAATCAGTTGTTTAATTGAAATTTTTCCCTTCCAATTTTTGATGTCTTGCTAGGTTACATAAGCATAAAAGCCTTTTGCTTACGAGATCAAAATACTCAAGTAAATTCTTCATTCTGCAATATAAGGACCAAGCCAGCAACTGAACCCAAAATATGCAATGCTTTCTCCTGCCCAGCCTAGTAAGTCATACAGAAATGTCTTTGTTTATATTTGTGTTCAGTGCCTTTATTGTTGGTGTAAGATAATGAAAGACCTGCTTTCCATACTTCTGGTTGAAAGTGGTTTAAGAATAGGTGCAGTGCCTAAAAGAAAAATAGAGAGGAGGAGGAAGTTGGAGGTTGAATTATGCACATTGAAAAATATGAACTTGTGTTAGATACTCATGTGACCTTCTAACAATGCAAACTTGGGATCCAAAGCCATCTTTGTTAAAAAACTTTTGAATACATACTTCTTAGAACTCAAGTAGATACTTAAATAGTACACAATCTTATATTAGTTAAATTTACATGTGGTTGTATGCTTGGCATTTATGTAAGTTACCCAAGAACATAAAAATCATATTACTATGTAGACCATGAAACCCAATGCAAATTATACAGTAGCAAGGCACAAAATAAAAAGAGAGATAAGCCAAGAGGCAACTCCCCCGCTGGTGGCGGTCCTTGGGGAGCTCGGCAGCTTTGTGCTTGGATTCGTTTTAGCCCCGCCATTGTTGAACACTAGCTTTAAGTACTCCCCCAGCCAACTGGCATCTCTTCTTATATGATTTATCTCCTGCCAAATATATTTCTATAAATAGAAAGAGCTTCTTCTAAAGCAGTGGTGTGCTCACCAATGTTTCAGATCATCCTAATAAGCAGTATTTGGCTTGTGGTGATGCAATCATGCTACAGAATCTTTAAGTGCATGGTATTTTTTTCGTGTAACTAACAGGGTATCTGTCATCATCATCTAGGATTTCAGCTGCCCACCAGTCCCATATATGCTGTTGTCACCTCAGTTTTTCTCTTGAGATCTGGAGCCAGTTTTTATTAAGAACACAAACAAGAGAAAGAAATGGGAGGGGGCCTCCCTATGTATTTGTCTTTCTCTTTTGCTGAGACATATCTGTATCTAAGAATCATTCCTGGGCTCTAAGAGGTATAATTGTCAAAAGTGTTCTTGATGCTTGCAGAATAATCTCCTCTATAGATAGTGGTGGCGGTGACGGTGTATGTATGTGCAGGGACAGTCAGTGTTCCTGACTGGCAAGCCGATGGTGTCTGATCATAAGCCTTCTTCCCATCATTGGTTATTCCTGCCAACCAAAGAAAGGGACCTCATTTACGAATACACCCCTGTAAGAACACATGCCAAACTCATGCCTGACTCCTAATACCTACCAGACTGACTCCATATAGGAAGGATATTCTGTGTGGAATAAACTTCCTAATTAAGGGTAGAACAGCCTTCACAGACTCTGCAGAGTGGAGGTGGTGACATGGGTAGAATCCTCCATTCCCGTGCTCTCCACTCTACCCTCGTAAGTGTTTTTCAGTATTTTCTGCTGGATTAATGGGGCCTGTCAGGAATCATTCTTGCCCAGGTGTACATTTTTTAAAAAAGAAAAAGAATTCAGCAAGCACACTGGAAGCACTTCAAAGACAAAGGGATTTATCTGTGTTAACGCCTCCTTTCACATGTACATGCAGTCAGGGCATAAGCCCCTTGCTGAAGGCCCCGAGCCGAGAACTAGGAGGAATCTCATATAATTCTTGCCACCCCTGGACCTGCAGGAGGAGATGAGTGTGTACACAAAAAACTGAGTTGCAGTGAGATGTGCTCCAAAAATGTTATACAGAAAAAAGTAATTGGGCATAAACTAGACTGCATGGGTTCTGGGCTGTGAAGTAGAGGTGAAGGAAGATGAGGTTGGGTAACCTAAATCTCAAATAGGAAAGAGCACACATGCTATGTAAAAAGTCTGCCTTAGGCCTTTTCTAGTACTTGTACAAACTCATCACATTTGTAACATGAAGGAAAAAGATTTAAATTTGGTATAAAAATACCATTTTGTAGGTGAATATTGAAACATTATTTCATATTGTCTTTACATCTTATAAGAGAATGCATAATTAAAGATGAAGAATTGTTCTATTTGACAGTATTATTATTATTATCATTATTATTAATGTATTTGATTGTAATAAGGTCTCACTACACAGCTTGGACCCCTAGTGATCCTCCTGTTTTCATCCTCCCCAGTGCTGGGATTATAGGCATGTGCCACTACACCAGGACTTTGTGGCCAGCTGAGCCCACCCTGGGAGGAGGGCTGGGGCATCAAACCCCAGTCTCTGTGCTTGCCTAAGCAGGTACTTTAGTCCACTGAGCTATCTCACTGGCTCCATAACCTTATCTCTTTAACCAGGATAGTCTGGGTTATAAAATGTTTTAAGAATACACATAATCCTACAACCTATATTAAACCTACAACCTATGTTAAATTCTCTCCATTTTAATTTCACACAGGAAGGGTGCTAGGAAAACCAGAAAAAAATTGTAAGACTAAAAATACATTTGGCCTTCTTGATTTGGTTTTACTTTCTAGAATACTAGAATGTTTGTAATCCTAAATCACTTTCAGGCATTATTACTATGACATAAATGTGTAACAGGCATACATAGATTGATTTTTTCCCCACACTTTTTATTAGTGTCTACTGGTTACACAGGTTAATGAGTTTCATTTTGATGGAAAAAATAAACTGATTTTAAGAAGTAGTTTTTGATGCGCATTCAGATGTACATCAGCTCTTGGGTAATTTGTGGGAAAAAAAGTAATGTGCTAATTTTGAATAACTAATACAAAGTTAGATTTCTATTGGCAAATTATAGGAATAGGAAGAAAAAGAGGTTTGGGGGGAACCACCCACTAAGAAACACCCCTAGGCAGCCTGCGAATGGGCCCCCTTGTCTTGTGTCTGCACATCTCTTCTCACAGATTTTCCTTGATAAGCCTCATTCTTTGGTAACTCCAGCACTTAGAAAGAAGTGTTTTTGTCCATACAAGCACCTTCTCACTGTGTTGATTTTAATAGAAATAACACTGCTTCATTAATTTGTCTGAGTCCAGTGCTTAAAAGAGTCCCTGACACAGTTTAGATCCCAATAAATTTGGTCGAATGCATGGCTGATATTAAAGTGGCATGCGATTCTTCCCATACAACAGACAAGAAGGTGTTTTTCCTAAAACTGTATAGTGACTAAATGTGCTTCCTAACAGCTGAGCCACATTTGCATAAGCTTCAAAAATCTATAAAAGAACAACAGATAAAAGATCTGATATGTAGTTTTAAGCTCTTCAGATGGATCTAAGGGCTTTCATTAGGTGGTTCATCATCCACGCTAAATGTTTTAGAAGTGACCATCAAAGGTCCTCACCTCCCTTGAAATGGTTTTGTCTGTCACCGCAAGTTGGATGCCTGGTGAATGGAGCGCGTGCAGCAAGTCCTGCGCGGGAGGCGAGCAGAGCCGGAAGATCCAGTGTGTTCAGAAGAAGCCCTTCCAGGAGGTGGAAGCCGTGCTGCATTCTCTCTGTCCTGTGAGCACACCCACCCAGGTTCAGATCTGCAACAGCCACGCCTGCCCCCCAGCATGGAGCCCTGGGCCCTGGTCTCAAGTAAGTGGAGAAGCCTTGAAGCCATGGGTCTCACCCCAAGCCCCAAGTAAGACAAGGGTGGTGAAACACTCCCAACTCTTTGTAAGGATCACACTGAGTCAGCACAGGGTCTGGGGATCTGCATTTTATCTTGTGATTCTTATGAGACCTGAAGTCCAGGACCCCCTCTTCCAGTGCTTACTCCACAAGTTCATGGGGAACCATTTGGACACAGATAATGGGTGTAGCTAGAAAGGGAGTAGCTGTAGCTCTGGCTTCTGAGTTCTTCCAAGCAAATGGGAAGATGCACATATGAAGAATGAGAATAGAAAGGAAATGTGACTCTTGCTACACCAGGAACAAAGAAGAGTTAAAGGACAGATAGAGGAGTTGGTCATGGAGCTTCTATTACCACAAACTTATAAAATTGGACGAGTCATGGACCTGCCCCCGCCCCTATTTTTCATAGCTTAGAAATTCCCTCTAATGCAGTAGTGTAGTAATTTTCCCCTGGGCAGATTTGCCCCTGAAAAACATTTTTATTGTCATAGTTGTCCCGACCTGTGGGTTAGTCAACGAGGACCCTAGAGGGGGAGTGGGGATGAGAAGGGACAGGAGACACAAAGAATGGAGACAAGACAGGATTCTGATCAAGTCTCGTTTATTCAGGGGAAGTGCTGGGTACATATAGTGGAGGCATAGGGAAATGACATCGTTGGGTAAAAGGCGCAAGTAACTAGGCAACCGGCTATGACAGGAAGTCCCACCTCCGGAGCATAGCAGGAGACTTATGGGAAATAGGTGGGATAAGAAGAATTAGGAGCTTAGCTCAGCAGAGGTAGGGGAAGAGGAAGTCAGCGAGGAAGTCAGCGTCACTAATGACGCTGATGCACCAAGAGAATTTTATAGGTCAGAGGCACTCAGGTGACCATTAAGGGATATATGGCACAGAGTCATGATGTGGCAGATTCACAGGATTTAGGAAAAGACTCACTTGCAATAGTATTGGAGGCCTGGAGTTATTGTGCCTCCCACATGCAGTGATACAGGACTTTCAAGTAACATAAGGGAAAATAAATGTAACTCTCAACCTGCTGGATGTCCTATACTCCAGGTTTGTGTTCCCCCAAATCAAAGGATGAATTTTAAGGAACAGAGGTTAAGAGTAGGAAATTTTATTGAGAGACAACTCTGGCCTCAGAGGGACAGGAGGGGCCCCAATTGGGGTAGCAATGAGCATACTTTACAGAGGAAGTTTTATAGAGCAAAATCATGGGGTGCATACAATGTGGATTAAACCTTTGATCAACAGATTTTAAGTACTGCTGCTTAGGCAGTATTCATCCAGTGGGGAAGCAGGTCACATAGCAAGTGTACATAGAAAGAACAAAGAACTTCTCAAGAAGGGATGGATCAAGTGGTCTTGGTCACCCACCAAGGTGATTGAAGTTTATTTAGTCATTCTGTCTTTATCTTGAAGCCTGGCCTCCAACAACAGATGTACCTCTAGACATAGCTGTAATGTGTGTCCATCCTTTGTACTGACTCCTTCGAGGGCTCAGCCCTCTCTGCCTGCTTAGAATATTCCCACCTTACTTATCTGTCAGTAATAATAGCACAGAGGAGATGGAAGCTACTGGATCTCGTGTGTGCATCGGTAAATGTCCCACAAAGCACAGGAGAGCTCCCTGCAGGAATGAATAGACATCAAGGCTTTCCCACCTGCAGTACCACCACATCTCACACCAACCTCTGCCAGCCAAAAGTGGCAAGCACGGTTTGGAGGATCCCAGAACTACAGGAGCTTTAGCACCCTAACTGTGAAGCCAGGTGGCAGCCACTGTCCTCTGTCCTCCCTGTGTTCTTCAGAGTACCGAATATCCTGGAGGAGGTCCATTGCTTAAGGCCAGCAGTGCAGCACAGCAGCCCAAGCAGAGGTTATAAAAAGGTCATAAGAATGCTGAGGCTACCTGTTAGGGAAGTAAGGGCCAGGAGTATGACAGAGTGTCTTGGAGAATGCTTAGGGGTTTGTTTTCCAAATGCAAGAATATGTTCCCTTACAGCACAAGGCAGGGATCAGTAGGATGTGGTTTTGAGTCTGTTGCTTTTTTTTTTTTTTTTTCTATTTTGCAGTTGGGGGTTATAATTTCTAAAGGACTATTTGAGTCTAATACGTATGTGGTCATGATGAAAAGAGATGAAGACTGGCAACTTTCAAATGAACCTTGTGTAGTTTGTTGTGCTCACCTCACATTTCACATGGAAATATTTTTAAGTGTTTTTTCTTTTAATTTGGTTACTAAGCCCAAAGATATGTTTTTTGAGAATTTGTCTCTGCCTCATAAGAAAGGAATCCCTGAGAAGGAGTTATTCCAACCTAGTCTCCCTTTAGAGACAGGCTGCAGTACCACATTGATCCCTTCTAGAGTTGCTTTCAAGCTTTTACCATTCCAAAAAATAATTGCAAACCTCCAATGAGATTTCATTCCAGCAGCAGTCGTGTCCGTGCAGTAGTGATGACAGGTGTAGCCCTCACTTCCCAGGCCTGGCAGCACCTGACTTGCTGGCCACGCTCTGTTCCTTGGTGGTGCGGTCCGCCTTGGTGCCTGGGCGCTGGTTCTCGATGCCTGTTGCGTGCACTGGAACGGTAGCGGTGATCTCCTAGGAGTTAGACGGTTATGAGATACACCCTTCCATGGAAAGCTTTGCAGGTGCCCTGCTGCTGGGAGGGCTGAGCAGCATCCCGTCACTTCCGTTCTGAATGGGAAGAGTGGGAACTCACGTTGGTCCTCAGAGCAAGCTGAGAACCACGCCCAGGCTGGGTGTGTGTTCATTAGGCCACCTCGGTCACAGTCCTTCCTGTAAAGGCCAAGGTGGTGGGTGACACATCCCTTGAGGACACGCCCACACCCAGAGCCTGTCTTTTATGTGACCCTGGCAAGCATGTAGCCAGTGTGTCTTTGCAACCTTATCCACTGCACTCAGTTCTACTAAAGCTCGAGAAAGTAAAAGTGTGAGAGTCAGTTTTCCACCGCGTATGTTTGTGGTACCTAAATATATTGGCAGACGCTGGACCTGTCCTCTCCGCAGTGGTTCGCACAGTGCCTGCAGAGCGCAGCTGCTAGGCCTGAGAACCTCAGGCCCTGGGACCGTTTCCAGGATGGTCTGTCTCGCAGTGCTGCTGCCGCACCTGTCTGCATTCTGTATGTGCACGCGTTTCTGCTCTCCTCCTCCTGCTCCTCGCTGGAGGCGAGAGTGGTCCTCTGGAGTACAGCCCCGCTCTGCTTTTCCCCATACATTTCCAGACTCTTCTCATACGTGCTACACCAAGCAGCCTCTGCCTCATGACTCCTACAACCCCTCTTCAGACCCAGGGTTATGCTGTGGGCACTGGGCCTACGAAAGGGTGAAGGCTACTTGGGACAGGCTACATGTGGTCTTGCCTGAGCCTCGAAGTACAGTCCTCCTGCTTTGGGGAACATTATTAGACTGCCACTCAGGTGCTTAAAAAGAGCTCCGTAAACATTTCATCACGATGTTCTCAACATTTACGAGATGAAAAGCACCTCAGACAGCGTGCAAATAGCATTTCTTCTCCCCTGTAAGTGCTCCAAGACCTGTGGACGGGGAGTGAGGCGGCGTGAGGTCCTGTGCAAGAGTTCTGCCACAGAGACCCTCCCTGAGAGCCGCTGCAGCAGCAGCCCCAGACCTGAGGCGCAGGAGGGCTGTGTGCTCGGACGGTGCCCCAAGAACAATCGGCTACAGTGGGTCCCTTCTTCGTGGAGTGAGGTACGAGCTCATTTTAATTCTCAGATAACCTCCCACCATCCAGATGTGCTGGGCTCCTTCCTGCTGTGCACATAGACCAGGGCCTTCCTAATGGCTGGTTCTTCACTTCTGATTTGTTCAGCAGGCAACCTCCAACCAGGGCTGCACCTTGGCCAAGGGATACAAAACCTAACAGATTGGGCATGCTCAATGCTGTGGGCAAAGCTGGTAATTTTGCGAGAAAGCCGATGGTTAGTCAGAGCCAGATCTGAGGAAAGGCCTTTATCAGAAGAGACTCCTGAGTGGCAGGAGCCCGTGGGCCAGGCAGCGGCCTAGGCAGGTTGGCAGAAGGTTGTTCGTCACAGAGTGCAGACTTACCTGAGGAAAAGGTGACAGGTGACAGGCTGGAAATACCTCCTCTACAGGAGGAGAGCCTGCAATTTGGAGGAAGCTGCCTGAAATTTGACAGGAAGCCTACACCAGTCAGACTTTCAGTTTAGGGCTGGGGAGGGGTGCAAAGCACTCACCACCCAGGCAGAAAGGACTTCAGATGGCTGTGGCAGTGATGAAGACTGGGGAGAAGCCAGGTCTTTGAATTCCTGGATTTTGTACTTTCAGACGTCTGTGGGGGAGGGGAGAGGGGTGATAATTTCCAGCTCTCCGGCTTGCTGGAATTTACAGACATAGAAAAGGACCTAAGCCCAGAGTGTATCATGTGACCAGTGAGGTCTCTTCTACAACGCTTAATCTGGTAAGGAGGATAGACACCAAGAAAGAGAGAATATCAATAATGGGATGGTGAGGTCCAGCCAGGGGGAGGCTTTTATCCCTACACATATTGGCTCATTCAGGTACCACCCTTGTGGCATGCGGAGGTCCACATCATGAATGGGGCATAGCAATATACCTCTCTCTCCCCTCATCCATTCTCTTTACAGGACATTGTAGCCTAATGACTAAATCCATGGATTTAGATAGACCCTGCATGGAACAAGCCCTCCACTCTTACAGCAGGTGGGCCTGGAGCCAGCCTGGCTCTCCTCCCCACGCAAGGGAGCTAGTGCCTGTGCCTCCCTGGAGAGTTCCCAGAAGCTCACTGTTGCTCTTCATTGTGCAGCGTATCTACACCGACGCTGACCCTTCATCACGTCCTTCTACACTCTCCTATCATTTTGTTTAAATAACTTGCAAAGGCATGTTTTTCTCGTAGCTATTTCATCAGCTTCCTGCTCTCCTTTTCTGGCCACAATGCAGCATGAGATGACTTTTTCCCTGCCTGTCATTTGGCCAAGATGTACTTGTTAAATTGTGATTCGTCCCCCTCAGCTGTCTCTTCAGCCTTTCCTTGCCTTGCTCCGATTCCTCCTACCTCACAGAGGTCTGAGGGTAGTTGTGGTTGTCTCAACGAACAGTCTTCTGGGATTTTCCCTTTCTCTTGAGCCCTTCTTGCTCTGTGGTGCCGAGCTCCGTGACTGTGGGAAAGTCGTGGCGCTCCGCTGGCCTCTGGCCAAGGTGTCCGTGTTGCTGGGGCACTCACAGCTCTGTTCTTGGCTCCTAGTGCTCCGCCACCTGTGGCTTGGGGGTGAGGAGGAGGGAGATGAAGTGCAGTGAGAAGACCTTCGAGGGAAAGCTGATCACTTTCCCAGAGCGAAGATGCCGCAACATCAAGAAACCAAACCTGGATTTGGAAGAAACATGCAACCACAGGGCTTGTCCATCGTACACCTTGGCGGCGGGCTGGTATTCGTCACCATGGCAACAGGTGAGCATGCGCAGACTGAGGAGGCTGGTGTCTGAGTGAGATGGGAACAGAAAATAAAACAGGTAGCCTGCCGAGGATTGCTCTACACGCTTGGACAGTTGCATAACTGTAAAGAAGAAGGGCTTGTGTTCTTTGGCCACCCCTGTCTGCTGGGGGACCCTAGGTGGATTATTCAATCTGTAACCTTAGTTTTCACATCTGGAAATTTGGAACAGTTATTACTGTCACACAGCATTGTGTTTTGTTCATAAGTAAGTGATAACTGTGCAGCACTTGTGCCAAGCCTGTCATGTTGATCTGATGTTGCTATAGCCCCTAAAACCATCTTAGAAATGATGTTCATAATCAAGTTTCTGAACAATACTATAACACTAATGTTTCCAGACTGCCTCTATGTACTCTGCTCAGTATTGTGCATGCATTTGCTCCTTTAATTCTTGATACAGCCCTCTCAGTAGGCCTGGTTGTGTCTATTTGGGGACTAGGGCAGATAGAGTCACGGTGTTAGGCAGTTCAAGCCAAGACCACCCGATTTGGGGGCTCATGAGATGTTTGAGTAAACCTGAGTGAAGCTTCGGCTCCAGTGGGCTGGGACTGGTGCATGCCCATGCGTTGGAAAAGCAGCTTGTCTTTAGGCATCTGAGATCTCGTGGGTGTCCTTGAGACATTCTGACAACACGATCTGCAAAGTGCTTGAAGAGTTGGCTGGGAGGAAAGAAGCCAAGGGCTCGGCCTGAGCGAACACTTCCAGCTGGCTGTGCACCGAGCACATAGATACAGGGTTCCAGCTGCTGTACTGTGCTGCTATCTAGAAACTGATTCTCATAAGATTCAGATCCATGATCAGCAAGGAATTTCCAGGAAGCCAGACCGGTCCACCACTTCTGCTCCTGCAGAGAAAGCCACACGCATTTACCCGAGTGCTGACCTAGCTACAACAAAGCAGCCTTGAGGGGATGCGAGGGTGCAGGTGCCCCTCGAGCCAGAAGTGCTTACTAGCTCTCCTGTTATGGCTGATGATGTAGGGACAGTCATACAATCATATCTGAAGGTTGGGCTAATTCACATTCACACTCTTTCCAAAAGAAACTTACTCCCCCTTCCCCCCACATACTGGGCCAGATAATGAAGCTGCTCCAACAACGGGAAAAGCATGCTAATTTTTCAAGGCAAATCCACTTAATTAAATTTTTTTTAGTCTTTTATTTGGTATAGGGACTCATTATGTAGCTCATACTCATAGTGATCCTCCTGTCTCAGCCTCCCCAGCAATGGGATTATAGGTGTGTGCCACCATGCCAGGTTTCAGTGGCCGGCCTAGCATGTGGAACCTGGAATCAAATCCAGGTCGCTATGCTTGCCTAGGCAGGCACTTAGACTGCTGAGCTATCTCCAGGGCCCAGTTAACTTTTTTAACTGGGCAGTGAAATCACTGATATTTTAGGAAGCACCAACTCCCCTGTGCTAATTCAGAATTTGGCTGGACACCGAAGGCAAAATGCCAGCATCTCACGTCATCATTCTTTCTCTCTTAGTTTTGAAACTATCCCCCTCTACGATGGCATCTGCAAAGAGCATCTGGAATTCTTTAAATAGTGTGCTTCATTCCCTAGATGTGTTTGGGTTGGTTTCTCCAGTATTAAGGTTACTTCTGGACATGCTCTTCATGAGCCACTGATCGGGGGACACAGCATTTGCCTAAGGTGCTTCCAGGTAGATCGGATGGCTCACACACATTACGATGGACGCGACACACCTGTGCCTGGCCCCAGACGATCTGCCGCGTTGGCCGACCCCTCAGTAACATCCAAGAGATGCTTGTTCCGTCGCTGCCCTCAGGAAGGGCGCCATCGCTGTGCAGCCCAACCCCTCTCTCTCTCCTGCAGTGCACGGTCACCTGCGGCGGAGGCATCCAGACGCGCTCGGTCCACTGTGTGCAGCACGGCCGCCCCTCTTCCAGCTGCCTGCTTCGCCAGAAGCCTCCAGTGCTCCAAGCCTGCAATACCAACTTTTGTCCGGCTCCTGGAAAGAGAGGTAGAGGGCCCCATGCCCCAGCCAGAGAATGAGTCTGTGGGATGATGCGCCCTAGATTTGTCCCACAGCTTGGGGACAGTTACTGTCCAAATAATCAGGTCTGCATGCAAAGGGAATGTTTAATTTCTTTTTTTTTTTAATGTATTTGGCACAGGGACTACAGGGTCTCACTGCTAGATTGGACTCATAGCGATTCTCCTGTTTAAAGCCTCCCAAGTGCTGGGATTACAGGTGTATGCCACCATACTGTCTCAGTTGCCGTCTCATTGTGCCCCAGGGACAGGACTAGCACAGCACACAGGGGATCGAACCCCAGCTGCCGCGCTCTGCCTGAGCAGGCACTTTTATCCACTGAGCTATCTGGCCAACCCTTTAATTTTGTTTCTAAAATCTTTTACTTATTTAGTACAGGGTCTCACTATGCAGCTCAGACTCATTGTGATACTCCTGTCTCAGCCTCCCTAGTGCTGGGATTATAGGTGTGCACCACCATGCCTCAGCTCAGTGTGAGGCCAGCATGGCATGTGGTACCAGGGATCAAACCTGGATCCTTGCACTTTCCAGACAGGTGCTTAGACTGCCAAGCTGTCACCCTCGAAATGTTTAGTTTTAGAAGATGCTGTAACCATTCATTCTTTGAAAGTGGGGAAAGGTCACCTTGCAAGTCCATTTTTAAAAATTAGCTATTTTGTTAAAACTGAAAAAGTAATGAGTGTGTGACAGAGTTTCTGCTAACCCATGGAAATATAAGCGCCAACAGTAACTGCCCTCAAAGGGTTCACACTTTGGATTACAGTGAATTACAATGAATGGATATTAGGCTGGGACTACGCTTGCAGTGGTTTCTGAAAATCAGCTTAGGTGCAGCGGGTACTCATAGGAAACTCAATTGTCAGGGTAAAGCGTACCAGCGTTTACGAATCCAGCTCATTTTAAGGCAATCCTACAAAGAGCAGGAAATAGCCCAGCTTTCCCGAGACTGTGTGGTCTCATACCTGCTTCTTCCAATTCATGGCAGCTCCGACCCAGGATCCAGGACTGTTACCCATGTGCTCCATCCCATCTGCATCTCTTCCCATCTCTCCATTATTGATTGACTTCCTAGCGTTTGGGGTTGAGGCTAATGTTCCTTCTTTCTCTTTGTGCTATCTGGATTACAAAGATAAAGAAACGGGCTGTGGCAGATGCTGAAAGCTAGATCTTCTGTAGGCCCTGCAGGAATCTATGAGGAAGAGGTGTACAGTTTTGGGCAGCAGGTCACATTCTCTGGGACCTCTTCCCCATCTCTTTGTCACAATCAAATCATCACTGGGAAAGCCATACCACATACAAGACCCAGTCTGGAAGAAAACACAGCTCCTAGGCTGCCTCAGGAAGGACAAAGGCCAACCATGACTATTCCTCCTGAGGAGGTGTATAATTGAGAGTGGACATGGATAGGCGGTCCCTGATGCTAGGGGGACCACTAGTCCTGTGTCCACCTGCTATCTAGTACTTCACCAAGCTTTCAGTGGGTGCTTTCTTTGCTTTTAATGAATATATGCATGAATGTGTGAATAAGTGGTGTGAGAAATCCTTCGGGTCCTCTGCTTCAGTCAAAGTAAAGTCAGCAGCATCTCATATACATCTCCAGGGATCAAAAATACAGCCCAGCAGGATGTTGTTCTTAAGCTACAGAAAGAGGAAGAAGATACAACATCACAACCGTACATAAGTGGGGAGGGTATTAGCGGTGCGACCTTCGAGGACAGCTCTACCTGTGCTACAGGAATGGGGGTGATTCTCAGGGACTACATGGGAATGCTCCCCTCAGCAAAGTAAGGCTGCTATGCGAAGAGTAAAGAGAGAAGGCACCTATTTTTATTGGCAAAGGTGTGACCTATAGTTTACTGGTGGGAGCTCTTCCCCATTCCTATCCCAAGAAGAAAAAGAGTCACTTGCCTATGCTATCACTTGGTAGGGTGCATTTTCTTGCTGTGAGTTTTCAGGAGACAAGAACCAGCAGTAAGCAGATTCAGTTCTTTCAGTCATCTCTGATACCTCCCCGTAGGAACTGACAGTCACATGGGTTTCCAGCCCTGACAGTAACTCACACTGCCCTCTGGAGAAGAACTTCCTGCCAGGGTTGGCATCATCCCAACTTCCAACCAAGCAGGTTTCCCATCCCTAGACTCCTTGTTATGCAGATAGTCCAGGGATCTTTATCCTGGACTATTATCACTGTGGGATTTTCACTAAGGGGGTTTTGATTGGATGTCCACACCAGGCACCATCCTTATGGCTTTGTTATACATGTTTATATAAAACCACTCAGCTTTGTTTGTCATAGTGCACGCATTATACCCAGCTATTTGTCCACACCTCTCTGAGAAATTTCAGCTACAGACGAGTGACATCAAACAAGGGTAACTGTCACGGAATCCCACATCTTGGGTTTGGGTAGCATCTTACAGTGAAAGGAGCACAAACTCTGAAATCACGCAACTAGACATGAACCTATCCTGGCACTTACTAGTTATGCAGCATTGGTCAAAGAGGGAGATAATGTTTACCTTGAAGGGTGTTAGGCTTTTGACAGCATCACAGCAGAGAAACAGGTAGAAGGAGAAAGGGAAAGGGGCTTTATTATCTTGGAGGACATAGAATCTGGGGAAGATGAAAGAGTCTCTGGATTGGAACAAAGGGAGGTTGAGGCTTCTATAGCCCTGGTGGAGTTTGAGGGGGATGTTTAGATATACCTGAGGAACTGATTGGGGTCTCCCCTGAGGTGGTGGGAAGGGTGAAAGTGCACCCAGGGCTGAGTTGGAGAAGGGGAGAGGTGGTCTTGGGGAAGATAAACTGTTGTTTTAAGGGCTTCAGCCAGATTAGATGACCACCATAGTGATTCAGCAATTCACCTAGGGCCAGAAGCTATCAAAGGGTTGTTGTGATTCCATTTCTAAATACTTATTTAGCACTTTCATGGCATACGTTTTTGGAGATTCTTGATGGCAAAAGAAAACAGGGCAACTAATGAACATATTAGCAGCCAGAAGTAAAACAGAGCTCAGGAAGAAAAAATGACTGGGAGAAGGAAATAGGAAAACTAGTTTACAAAGGATTGTGATGATGATGGTGCAGTGTGGGAGGAAGGTAGCCAGGTGCATACCTGGGAGACAGGAATATGCCACTGAAGTGAAGGAATGTCAGTCATATGCTTGAAGTGTAGTGGACAAGGTGGTAGCTCAGCTTTAACCCTGCGTAGGATGGAAGCCAGTGGGGTACGTGGAGCTATAGGGTCTGGCTTGGGGGAAGGTCATTGGCAGTGACATCGCTAAACACACAGGCTGCCTGCAGGACAGAGGCAACTTCTGTACCCTTCTGCCAGCTGCAGAATTCCACTGGCGGTGCCACGAACAGGGGCGATGAGAAACTGGGTGAAGTTTGAAGATTGAGCTAATACTGGCTTGTTTGCATGTAGGATGTGAGATGAAGGAGGACTCCACGGTCATCCTACCTAGTATGCACTGACCCAGAGTAGGCACTCACATAAGAAGCTGTTAGTAATTAAGCTATGGAGACTGCCAGCATTGTGTTATGCCACATGTCTGCCTCCTGGCTTACATGAACAGCCAGGTACCTGCCGAAGCCCCACTCTTATCTTCAGATAAAACACTGTGGTTAGAACTATGGTTTCAGTAGTTGGGGCTTATTTTCTTGGACTACCATTTTATCAGTAGAGTGATCTCTGTACTCTAAAAGAAACTAAGATATCTACTAACAGATGAAGGCATAGGACACTGTAAAAATGTATTTTTTCCAGGTCTTTTTCTCTTCATCTACCTTGTATATATAACTCAGTCTCCTGGCACCCATCCCAAGGAAGAGTACTCATTTCATAGAATATGACTATTTTTTCAGATACTCACAAATCTTACTGACAGTTTTTTAGGATGTCCCCCTGCTCATGCCTTTTACTAAAGCTGCCAGCAGACTCTCTAGCCCCTGCCTTTCAAGTGCATTCAGGAGTGTCTGGAAGCAGAATAATAACTCCACCATTATACGTAAGTTGAGATGTGGTATGGTTTGAATGATTATTGTAGTCATGATAGTTTCAAGCAACTTGGTTTACTTTCATCAAGGTTTATGGAGAAACTATTTCGTGATAGGCAGTGTTTGACAAAGTCCCTGCTTTCAAGGAGTCTGCATCCTGGGGGACAAAGAGATAGTAACCAGGAGTATGACAGCTAAATTAAGTATATAATTAGTATGCTAAATTAAATGTAGCAAAATAAAGCAGGATGTTGAATAAGGAGGCCAAGGAGATTGCTGGTTGTATAGCATAGTCAGAGACGCTCTTATGCTGGTGCTGGCCTGGGGATCAGCAAGGGTCGAGAGTAACTGGCTGGGGCAGGAGAGGAAGAGGAGGGCGGGGGCTGGGGAACCCTAGGCTCAAGGCCTTGGCCTCAGCCTCAACTGCAGTGACTGTTCCCTGGATGCCAGGGGGAGGGGAAGAGTTTGAGGTCAGGAATGACAGGAATTGGCCGTGTCCCAAAGTGATGCCTGGCCCTCTGTGATATAAGGCAAAAGAAATCAAGGGGCCTGGGAGCCGCAGGCAGTGAGGCTACATAGAGTGAGGCTGCAACTCGGGGGCAGAAGGAAAGGCAGGGTGGCGGAGAGCCACACCCAAGGACACAAGGGAGACGCCAAGGGGCGGATCTGTGGGTGGGTAGCTGTGGAGGGCAGGCTAGAACAGTCGAAGTCAGAAGCCACTGAAGACTAGGGCAGGGATAGAGGTAGAAGTAGAAAATTCCAGTGCTGAATAATGTTTAGCTACACATAGCAGAGATCTTTTTTTTTTTTCCTTCTTTTTTTTTCTGTATTTTTAGGACAGGATCCACAGGGTCTACAGGGTCTCACTATGTAGATCAGACTCAGAGTGATTCTCCTGTTTTCAGCCTCCCAAGCTGTGGGATTACAGGCATGCACCATCATGCCCAGTCTCAATCCCATCTCAGGAGGGCCGGCACAGCACGCAGGGGATTGAACCCTGGTTGCTGTGCTCTGCCTAAGCAGGCACTTTACAAAGATCCTATTTTCAAAGTGAAAAATACATGTTAAATATGTCATGGGACAGTCATGGGCCCCTAGCCCCTCCTACATTATGCATTCATGTTGGGGTAAAGAAAGTGTTACGTGTGATTGCATTCCTCATCTCCTAAATTGTATCCAACCATCTCAGATGTTCATGATCCTGCTTCCAAGGATACTGACAGAGCTCATTTTCTGTAAGCAGCTAATGAAATTAGAAAGGGCAGATATTAAGGCTACTTTTTTTTTTCCAAACTGGCTAGGAGATTGATTTAAACCTTCACAGCACGTTGTAGCTCAGTCTCATGTCCAGGTGATGACTATATTAAGCCCCCAGCTCACCCTAGGCCACCAGCACCCTTGGGTGATTTGCAGAAATACAGGACTGCAGCTCCCACTCTAGACCTTCTGAATCTGAATCAGTGGATTAACAAAATTCTCCAGGGGGTGAAGGTGGGGATCCCAGCACTCAGGAAACTGAGGCAGGAGGATCATCGTGAATTCCAGACTAGCCTGGGCTGCAGGGTGAGCTCAAGGCCAGCTTGAGCTGCATAGCAAGACCCTGTCTCAAAGACCAAAAAAAAAAAAAAAAAAACCCAAAAGCCCTAGGGGTCTCTAATGTGCCATTCTAGGGTACCTTCCTCAGCACTCCAGTTTACAGTGGCTTCAGGCAATGTGGGAGGATAAAGCATTGATCTCTTACTGCATGCAACTTAGCATCTATTTTTCCCGCATGTCGACTTTGCCGAGGGTCACGGTCCCTTTTGATACCTTCATCCTGCACCTTATCGCCCAACACAGAGGCCCAAAGTCATTGTCCCACTGACTCTCGTCTGAGATGAAGGTGGAGCCTCCCACTGATGCGCTCAATGTCTTGTGTCATCTTAGAGGATCCAGCGTGTATAGACGTCTTCAGCTGGTGCCACCTGGTTCCTCAGCATGGGGCCTGCAATCACAAGTTCTACGGGAAACAGTGCTGCAAGTCCTGCACAAGGAAGAGCTGAAGTTGGGGACACCCCACGGCTCCGCCATCAGAGTCCTCCTGCCTTTCAGCCTCCACAGGGACCAGGCCCTTCGATCCCTGGCTGGGCTCTGTGACCCTTCATACGGTGCTACACAATCCGAGGAGCACGCAGGCTGATGCCGGTCTCCCTAATCGGTGTCCTGGAGCACAAGGTACTCTGAAGCACTTGAACATGAGAAGCGATGACAAATCTGACTTAGCAAAATAAGAAAGAGAAAACTGATTTGCACTGTTACCCAAAAGAAGTGACGCATCACACTGAGCTATGTCAGTTTGCCGTTTGACAGATTGAGTGTCTCAGGATCTCAGAGGCAGGCCCCTTTCCTTCTCTTTGAAATTCCAAAGAGTCAGTGGAAAAGACATTTTTTTTTTTTTTTTTTTTTTTTTAAAAAGGTCCTTTAAGAGTTTGGGTCCAGTCAAATCTGGATGGAGTACCAGTCAAACATGGATGCCGGGCTATTGCGTGGAGTTTAGAGTTCCACCTAAGCTGTGAACACGCAAATCAGGAGTTACATCAGGAGACAAATGGTGCTCACAACCGTGCTTGCTGCTGGACTGGCAAGCCTTGTGTTATGTTTATTTAGTGTGTGTGTGTGTGTGTGTGTGTGTGTGTGTGTATTGTTGTTGTTGATAAAAATATATTCTACTTAGTAAGTCTCCAAGACTAAAGCTAAAAATTTGAAAAGTGTTCCAAAGAAGAGAACACAGTGAACTATTTGAGATCACCATGTGGCTGAAATTCACACTGGGTGGGGGAACCTCAAAAGAGATAAATGTCGATGTCTTTCATACATCATACCAACCTCATCACTTTTGGTGCTTGCTCAGCAGCCTGGGGCCTGCTCTTTGGGCATGAGCATTGGTGATTCGTCTGTTCCTTTCTGGTAAAAAAAAAAAAAAAAAAAAATGTAGGAAGAGCTAAATGGCACAATAACCGTGTCTGAAGGAGAGAAACCTGTCATTTATAATGGCCTGTACATATTACCATCATTCTGGGAAACTAAATCCTGTTGGTGGCTGTTTCCTACTGACTGACATGTTTAAATTTGCCCTGCAATTAATTTAAGAAAAAAAAACAGTGGCAAGAGAAAATCCATCTGTCTTCTTGCTATATTAATATTAATAAATCACAATATGCCATGACCCTTCAATGAGAGTATTTTACAATGTTTCAAATGATATTTTTAGTCATCAGAAGCCAACCATTGATAGGTACTAATAAGCTAAAAAATGTCCTCAATTGGAAAAACACCACACTATTTTGCCAAAACCAAAGTAGCTTACAAGACAGTCCTCCTGTAAGTCCATGCGAAGTGGTTATAAAGGGTGTATTTGTATGATACCACTCTATTCGTCAATGTCTTTGATGAATGTAACCCAATTTTACTGCTTTAAAATGTCTCAATTCAGACAGAGATGAGCCATCTCAGCATAACCAGCCAGATGGTGGTTTGTTAAATTTAGCAGCATCCTTTAACCCCATGGTAATTAAAACCACAAGTTCTTGAATCTCACAGAAATAATGGTTAAGAGCTTTTCTCAATCTATTTGGCTTGGCCTCAAGGGGCAGCCATTTTACCATGAGGAAAAAATGGCTTACCACCACCACCACATTGTTGCCCTCTGAAAAATTGCAAGTTATTTGTGTCTTTATATAATTATCATTTTATTATTTTATGGAAAAGTTAATTTATTAATAGCCTATTATGTGTTCTCACTTGCTTCTCTGAGTAAGTGATATTAATTCTGAGGAAAAATGTTGCATAAAACCATGGATTATAGAGAAAAGTCAAAATATATGTGTAATATTTAATTATTTTATAAGTTTTATAATAAAGTATTCTGTTTCTTACCCTTGAAACTTGGTACATTCTTGAACAAGTTAGTAGGAAGTCAGTTATTTTATAGGTAATTTAACCGTATGAGTCTTAGGAATCTCAGAAACTTCACTGAAAGGGGAAAAAAGATATGCAATGATGATTTTTCCACTTTATATAGGAGGAAACTGTTAAATTCTGAGGTGGATCAGTTGTGTTTACCATATTGAGATACTGAACTATTTTGTTCTACTGTAACAGGCATATCAGCATTTATAGAAATAATCTAAGATAAAATACCATAATTGTTTTTCTATTTAAAGGGGATTTTGCTAAAATTTTTTTGCTGTTGTTGCAAAAACAAAGGGGAGGGAAAAGATGAAATGGGACAGGAAAGTGCCAATAAAGAAGGAATAATTTAAAAGAAGTCCTCAAGTTATTCAATTTTTTTAATCATCAGGTCCATGAAAAATAAAAATTAAACAAAAGTAAGTCCAAGTGATTTGAATCTATGGTATTTTTGCTGACCCCTGCGATCTCACACACGTGTGTACTCACAGTCATATACATATGTCCATATTTCATAGAATTTTATATGATTACTATTAGGAAAATAAATTATTGTTAAAATATAAAATGGAAGAGATGTCAAGAAGAAAGATCTTTTGGTAATAAAATTTTTCTAGAATCAACTCCATTAATGGTTAATGAGTGCTACTAATGAATCTTGAATCTAACAAAAAAGTTTTCTTTCAGCTTTTCTTAGCAAAACTGCTAAGTCTTTTATGTATGTTATCTCATTTAATTATCAACTAATTAGCAAGATGCTATTACCTTTTGTTAACAAAAGAGGATTCTGGGATTCAGAAAGAAGGATCTGGAATTTGGCCCAAGGACAGATGGCCAACCTGAGATGGGGTTAGGGTGCAAACCAGCCCACTGGGTTTTCTCCTGTCACTGCCTGCCATTACCTTTGCAGAGATATGGAAGAATGCATGGGCCGTCACACTCATGCCCTTGAGGTACACAGGAGTATAGTTGGCAGTACTGATTTCACAGTCATGAAACAGGCAGAACTGGCAACTTAAGGAAGGTAATAAATTCCCAAGCCCGTATCTTCAACAAAGGATGCTTAAAAGATGCATCACCTTAATTTTTAAGTATCCGCCCCATGACTGCTTTTCTCTTTGGTAATAGTATTTCCTGAGCAATAGCACCAGAGTGTTGGGAGCCTGCACCCCCAAATCCTTTAGGATGGAGAGAAGACACACAGCAGCACCCTTGGAACTGGTTCATTATCCTAACCACAGGGAGCAGCAGGGTGTGTTCTTCAAGGAACAGCTTCTGGAGTTCAGAGACTAGAACATCTTATGGCTAAAATGATAAATACATTTCATGTATCTATTTGTATGGTGGTGTCTTTAGATCCTATGCTTTGCCATACCTTCCTTATCTTTCCCCCAAGATTTAATTCTTTGACTACCGCTGCAGTCTCCACTGGTGCTAAAGCTCTACCCACCCATATTTTAGAAGTCACTGCGGGTTGGAGGAGGTGACTGTTACGTGTTCTTCCTCCACAGAGGGCCATAGGCTCAGGATGAAGCCAGGAGACAGGAAAAGGTAGGCAGATAGCATACGAGTCCTGGGTAGATAGACTAAAAGTCAGGCCCGAGTGAGTTAGCATACCACAGTGAACTGTCAGAGCCCTGATAAAACGCAGGAGACAAAGAACTGGTCCTTAACCCAGTGGAAGAGTCACTGCAGGAAGAGAAGTGCCAGTGGAACAGCTTATGTTCCAGACTGTGAGAGCCAGCTTGCACCCAGGAGTGTCCCTGCCTTCTAGCCTGTACTCTGGTACCAAAACCTGTATGAAAAGCTATTGAATATGAACCTCTATGGTATCCACCTTGCAGAACACCCCTGTCTGACTACTAATGGCGAGCTTGCCTTTTGTGCTTCCCTATAAACATGCAGTTGGCCGCTGCCCACATTCACTTGCATTTGCTGTTTTGCCAGCTTCCGTCTTCCTTGCCCAAAACAAGGACTCAAGATCCAAATCTGGTCACAGAGAGAAGTCTCAAGCTGTTGTTACACGCTGACCTCCTTCAGGAGCTTCCCATAAGCACATGTCGCCACTGCTCATTTTGAAATTTATCCACTGAAGTTAAATATAGTATTTTTTCTAAAGCTGATTAGTTTGGAGGCCAGCGAGATAGCTCAGTGGACTAAGCACCTGCTTAGGCAGACACAGGGACACAGGGACCAGGGTTCAATCCCCAGCACCACATGCCATGCCGGCCCTGCCCCTGGGTACTCTAACAGGCTACTGAGTCTGGGCATGGTGGCACACGCCTATAATCCCAGCCCTGGGGGAGGCTGAAAGACAGGAGGATCACTATGAGTTTGAGCTACAAATACATTTAAAAAAGAAAATGATTACCCTGAAAAGTAAATTTTATGGCTTGTTCTAAGGGAGAACTGTTACACAGCAACCATAAAATTAAGCCTGGTAAATATTAATGTTGAATAATTAGAAGTGAAATACAGTTGTTATAATTGGTTTACACATTCTTATCTGAACGAAGAACCCCACAGTGTTAATGAGTGAACTGTTCATCATTCCTCAAAAATATCGAGATTAGCATCATTAAGCTTAGGCTACAGAGGAAATGTTCTGTTGATAAGATTACCTAAAATCTCATTCACTTTTGCACGCAGGAAAGGCAAATTGTATCCATCTAATTGCACTTCGCTGGCAGAGCTGAACAATGTGAATCATGATTTGGTTCAACAAATTTTTGAGCAGAGAAGACATTTGAAGATATCTAGAATGTGTTTCGCTCACTCTGCCCAGTTATTTTTGTTTCTACAAAGCCGCAGTCAATTTCCCTCCTTTCTCCCACACTCCTCTCCTGTTTAAACATCATAAAAACAAAGTTTAAAGTGTCTCTGTTTTCCTACATAGTGTTGAGTGGGGGCCACAGCCGAGTCCAGAAGCAGGTCATTTGAGAAAAAAAGCTAATTTTCTCTCCTTGCTGGTTGTGGTACTAGACATGTGGTGCCATAGCCATTCTGAAATCTTAATAGGAATGAGAAAGAGGCACCAATGTCCAGGAAGAGGTAATCCTCCAGGTCATTTCTCTCCATCCTACCCCACTGTCTT